GTATTGAGTAAGACATTTCTTGTTCATGCATACTTCAGTAGTTCATAATTTCCCACTGCATGAGTTGTATTCATTCAGGCACTGAAACTATTTGCAGAACAAGCTTTTTAAACTCAGAACATGAATTATTTTTTGACTTTTGTGATTAAAAACATTGATTTGAATCTCATTTTTGAAGCTGTTCTGTAAATAGCATTCAAACAAATAATGCATATAGCAACTTCTGATCAATCCATATCATTTTCAGACTTAAAACAATGAACAGATATAATCCCTGCCAACTTCCGGTTAAACCACACCTACTTCCGGTTTAGGCCCCGCCCACTCCGATTACAGATACAGATAATTTAGATGGTTGAACAGATACAGATACAGATAGTGCTGTACTCGCTCATCCCTAGAAACAAGTATAATTAAGGTAGTGGGACCATTTCACTGTGATGATAAAGCATCRAAACCTCTCTACAGAAGTTTTGTGTAGTAGACCTATCTGGCTACTACCTTCTTAATACACACCAGAAACTTCACCCAGTCTGGCTGATTTTTTATTTGTTTATTTTTTACRTTGCAGTGGGCTAAAAGTCTGGTTTTGCGTAATGTCTCGTTAAAAAACAGGGTAAGTCAAAAGTTACAGGACACCCTTTTATTTTGATGCAGTATGGCAGCTGTGTTCTGGACATAGCCTAAAAACAGCGGTGCCCAGCCTCACTCATTACTTGCTGGAGCATTCAGATATTTAATTTTCTCTTTTCTTTCTGAAATTAAAGCTTGTCCTGCGTCTTTTGACTCACCCTGTATATTTATGAGTGTCAGTGATATCAGCAGTTCCTAAATGTCTRCACACAGTAGTCCCCTGTGAAATGAATGTTTTAGTCGTAGGTTTAAGATTACCCTGACCTGGTTGACTGAACCCAGAGTTGTAAAGTAACTAAGTACAAATACTTTGTTACTGCACTTAAATAGAAATTTTGGCAATCTGTACTTTACTTGAATTATTTTTTTTCAGCCAACTTTTTACTTCTACTCCTTACATTTTTACACAATTATCTGTACTTTCTACTCCTTACATTTAAAAAAAAAAGGTAAGAAGTAGAACGTCATTACTCCTATTTCATTCCGGCTTGTTATTGTTAAAAAAAATTCTATCCTGAAAAACTGTGCCTTTGAGTTTAATTGTGGTTGGATGAGAAGTATAAATAGATACCATTCTGACACATATTAGTTTGTACACAATCCATCACAGCTACACGCCTTTAAAAAATGTATTTGGAAAATCTAGCCTCTCATTTTTACTCAATACTTTTACTTTTACATTTTATGTCAAAAATTGACTTTTGATACTTAGGTACAAAATAAATCCGATACTTAAGACTTTTACTCAAGTAATATTCTTAGAGGAGACTTTAACTTTTACCAAAGTAATTTTATGATAAGATACTTGTACTTTTATTCAAGTATCCCTCTGAGGTACTTTATACAACACTGAAAAAACCTATAAATCAATAACAAAAACTCAAAGATCCCGACAGTCTGAACACAAACCCAAAAACAAATGATGTCATAATATAAAACCAAACACTACAATGAGCTGATTTTCTAGTTTTTATGAGATACTAGTTATGTTATAACGACATACAGCTCAACAATAAATTGATGTCAGGCTAATAAGGGTGTAATTACCATCCTAAAAGTGGAGGGACACATTTTTTAAAGGTCTTGTTTTTCCTGCTTCGGTTGAAAAAAGTGTGTGTGTGTGTGGGGT